CGACATTTTGTCCGCAACATTTTGTCCGCGACATTTTGTCTTGCGACATTCAGTCCGGTCACCATTTTTTTTAATCTTGTAAATCTTCGTTGAAATTTTCGTTGAACGTTCGCCTCTATATAATTGTTACTGGAGTAAACATTAATGCCTTAAGTTGTAAATTAAATCTTTCAGGAAATCGATAATTATCAATAATTCCATCATTAGGAAGACTATTATTCCTCTTGAAATTCAGAAAATGGAGACAATTTACCTTGTCTTTAATGATCTTTATTGTAAAGATGCACTCATTTCGATATAAGGTGTAATAACATTGTGATACCTTCGAATTTGGCTGTAGTATTTTTATTCCAATCTTTTCCGTTCTATATCGTACCTCAATTTACTATTTGTGTCTTCAACTCAATGGTAGTCATCAGAGATGTGCGGGGCATCGAATTTTGATGCACTGCAGGACCCGCCCTGTAGTACTCGCAAACCCGCCTCGCCCGTCTCCATGGAAAATTTTTCTCAGCATCCCCCGCCCCACCTCGTCCTGTTTATTCTCTAACCTGTTCCGCCGCTCTTCATATAAAAATCTTTCTGTTCTACTCTGCGCCCCGTGACACCCGAAAAACGTTTTTATTCGCAATGTAGTTTATTTTCGGTGGTTTATGCTACATCAGTTGCTAAATCATGCAACCGAAAATTTTGGATTTTTTTATATGGAACGATTCTGTTGGGATATGGAGGAATTCTGATCATACAACGTCTTTTGAAATTCAATTTTTAGACTCTTCTGCTCGAAAAAAAAACGAACTCTTTCCAGAATGAGAGCGATCAACTCCCTCCCCTAAATCCGCCAATGAAGTCATGTAATTTGATCACTCTATTGGTAAAACAATAAATTCTAAATATTCATTCTAAAATCAAATCAATTTTATTTTATTTATTCGTTCTTTAATACAAACGAATAAGCGAACTTCGATAATCAAAGTTCAGTATGACAAAAGATAAAAAAAGGAAGAAACGAAGACCAAGTGAGTCTGTAGTCAGTATGATGAAAATAAGTAACTAATCAATATATACTTCCTTCTGAAAATGTAGAATATCAACATCTATCGGTACTTTTTGACCATCTTCGTCGAGTTCCGAAAAACTCTTTACCTGCCCGAACCCGTGCATATTAATCTTCGCCCGCCCGAAGCCCCGCTCTTTTTTTGTTTCTTCTCACCCGCCTCTGATCGCCCGTGTGTCGACGATACCCATGCCTGCCCACCCCGAATATTTTAAAGATTTGTATCCCTGTCTGCCCGTCACGACGTGACCCCGCGGATCCCGTGGGGTGAAACCCGTGGATCGTACATTTCTGGTAGCCATATGTAGTTGGTTAGCGATTTGCGTTCAATTTTTTGTCTTGTCCATTAACAAATGTTTGAATACAAATTTTTTATGCGTCCAATACTGGTAATTTGTAAGTCGAGCGGTAACTTCTTCGTATCAAATCAATCGACAATAATTTCCGTACTTCAATATTCTTCAGTCTTCTATCATATCGATTCACTGCCTTCAATTGATTTCTTTCGCTGATCTCGAAGATAGATCATCTGTTTGATCTCAGATTCATATTTCAGCTGAGACCAAATTCGCATTCAATAAGTAGACGAAGAATGGATCGAATGACAAAAGTCTTCAAGTGATGACAAGAAGGTTGTGTCAGACACGGTGCATATAGGTTTCTAATAGGAATTTCTGTGCTTCATAGCTGTACAGAGTGCAATGAACAGACACTTGAAAGCAGTAATTGGAGTATATTTGAAATAGAGCAATAACCTATATCTTTGCATAATGAATTCTGGATACAGTTGTTATTCGAAATAATACAGAATTCTACTCACGGTTTAAAACAATGTTTTAGTTACAATAATAATTGAGTGTCAAAAAAAAACAAAATGATTCATTTTAAATAATTAGTCATCCAAGTAAAACTCGTCAAATTCTTCACGTATTTGATTAATTTCTTTAAATAAACGATCTCAATATTGATCATTCAAAAATAAAATTGAATTGATCGTAGATCAAGTGAATTATTAAGTTTTGAAAAATTTGGTTATCGATCATCAAATTAGACTAGTAGAAAAAGATCAAAATCAGATTTTATTGAAGAATTTCGAGGTTAAATTATCAATTAAATGTGTTATCACAAAACAACAAATTAATCGAACACTTACGATAGCTCGTTCATTATCTCAAAATAATTATTATCGAAATAGTTGTGATCAACGTCGTTATTTATTATCATACAGTATAGCTCATATGAATCACATCGTCGAACAGCATTCAAACTTTTATTAATATTAATCGTTAAATTTTTTTCTTTGTTGAACACCAATATTTATTTATCATATAATTGAAATATTTAATAAAAATTGTATCGTTCTACATTGAACATTTGTCTTCAGTTAATACTTCTCTTTCTTTTGCATTAACATTATGTTTTCCATTAAACAGCTATTTACAAGTCATGTATTCATATTCGCATAGGATAAGTAAGAAAAGTACCTCTTGGAACTATTGAAACAAAGAATTTGAAAAGCTCATCTGGCATCAAATTATCAAGAATTCAGTATTTCCGCTAACAAGTTTAATTGTTCCCAGGTCAACAGTACAAACAATTAACTGCCTAAATGATTTTGACTGACTGCTGCTGTTCAAACTTAAAGCCTTTTTATTATTTAATTGTACATTCAATTCGAATCATATTTTGATCAGACACGATAAATAAAGTCGATTATAAGCTGAACTTGATCGATTAGCATAGATAGGAGTAAAATGTACGTTGATCCTTTCTAAGAATCGTTCCAGCGAGAATTTTCACGAGTCGATACTGTTTGAAATTCTACACTAATAAGAAAAAATCATTTAGGAGAGTTCAACTAGTGCCAAAACATCAGAGAATGTATACTAGAAAAAATGAAGCTATAATGAATACTTTAAGCTGACCGAAATCATCAGACATCAACTATAATGTTGTTCCCTTATGATTTTTGCAACTTTGATTTTTTTGTCTTGGTTTTCCATATGAAATAAAGAGACGATATGATCCTTCAAGATTCCTTGAGTGATCTTGTACGATATTTTAATAATCAAAGGAAAATGTACCCATGTCAAACCATCAAACACTAAGATCATACAAGATCTTACCTCTGATCCTGTATGATCTTGTAAAACCAGACAAAAAACTTAGTGTCTGGAGAATTTACATCAACTTTTGGCATAAGATTCTTCCAAGCTCGTACAGATAATATGATCTTGGAAGAATCCTATATTAAAAAAATTGGTATAAGCTTTGTGGAGACCATTAGTTTTCGTATGATTTCCATCTGATTTTGTGACCTGAATAATCTCTGTAAAAGTTACGTCAAGTCTTACCGTTAGTTTTTTTTTGCGAGGTTTTAAAGTCTGATGTACTATTGATGTGAGTGGCAAAAAAGTCTATTTTCTCCTTTATTTTACTGTTGAATAATTGAACGATGTTAACAGACACTTCGAATAAAGTTATACAAACATTTTTAATTAATCTATGCAATATTCGACAGTAATTTTTAAAAAAAACTGTCGTACAGTTACGAAGATAAAAATCGACAAACTGTTCGATAATTCACTAACTGACAGATCCCTTTTTTGTCTTTTTAATATGAAGATGGTAGTCTTATGTGTTTCATCTTCTTTGTTATATGTGGTAAGTCTTCTATGTATTTATAATAGCTGTCGAAAACCGTGTCGAAATTAGTGTTAGTTTACTTTTTGATATTTTGTTTGTTTTGTTAAATAATTAACTAGTCATCTCATTTTTGAGTTAATATTTTCTACTTTTTTAATGCCACCCCCATCTATTGTTCATGTATATTTAATAGAAAGAAATCTTCTTTGTCAAACTGACAATGAAATAATCAATCAAGTAAAAATAACGAAGGAGATGATTCATAGAATAAGTAAAAATTAAACAATAATTATAATTTAATAATCCACATACGAATTAAATCAATTCATAAGATTCCTATCAATTATATATGCATGCTATTTTACTACTGTATATATTGTTTGACATTATTTTTCTTTTCATATAGACTTTACTTGAGCAGCCTGTCAAAAAAAGATGTACACTATTACATAGTTTTTATACCTTTCAACTGCTGTCGTTTTCAAACGACAAGAAGCAAAAATAAATGAGACATTATTGAGTATTCGATTTCAGATTGAAATTCATACCTAATTATAAAAAAAGCATTTACAATGTTTCATTTTTTTATTCTCTCTCTATTCGATCAATACTCTCATTTGAAATCTATATGTAAATAATAATTATTAATGTCTTTAACAAACGATTAAATTGTATATACATATAATTGAAGGAAGATGACAAACTATTTTTATTATATTGACTTTATTTTCTTGTAAAAACATTAGAAGTCGATTTTTTTTGTGTTTTTTAATATCATGTAAAGAATAAATTTAATGTAAATGAATCAACTCAAACTTTTTCTCTCTATTAATATTCTTAAATAATTGATATATTAAATATGCAGACGTAGTATAAGAGAATAAAAAATATTTTGAACATTTTTCATCATAGAATACGCAGCTATAGATACATAATTTTTGTAATAAGAGAAGAAGAGAATTGATTATGGATATTATGAGAATATCAGAGTTTAGAAGAATCGAACACATGTTTAGGTAATATTCGCTTGTTTCTGTTGTAATGGACGAGCGGCAGCTTTCATTAATCTTAAATGGATCATTGACTAAAAGATATTTCATTTAATCTTACATGTACACATGATTTTCTTGTTCTCATTTGAAAGCAATTTTTTTCTTCTTCGTTCTCTTTTTGTCAACATTGACCAAAACAACCAATGGATGCATCAAACAAATAGAACACTATTGGTTTATATTAATAATTTTTTTTTTTCTTCTTTTCTATATAATCTAAATGATTTAGTATGAAATAATTGAAAATGTCGATAAGTCCATTGAATAAAACTTCACTTCTTTATTCAAATATGTTAAAAAATAATTTTTTTTCACCATTTTTTATTCAATCATTAATTGCATCGAATCAAAATTCAACTCATCAAGGTTAACTATTTTATGAGAAAAAAAAAAAAAAAAAAAAAACGAAAAAAACTCATAAAATTTTTACGTTTTTTATTTCTATTTAGAATCAAATTTAAGTGAAGATGAAGAAAGTTTAGATCATAATAATAAACAAAGGCGAACAAGAACTAATTTTACAAGTTCACAAATTGATGAACTAGAAAAAGCTTTTCAAGATGGTTTATTTATTTTTATTTTTTTGTCATTTTTATTTATAAAATAGAAAGTTTGGAATTTTTTTATTTATAGGTCATTATCCGGATGTATATATGCGAGAAGCATTAGCTATTAAATTAGATTTAATTGAATCTCGTGTACAAGTTTGGTTTCAAAATCGACGAGCTAAAGTAATCAAATTGTTTATATTTAATATTTAACGTGAAGATTTATTTTAGTGGAGAAAAATGGAAAATACAAAAAAAAGTCCAGGTCGTCCAGCACATAATGCACATCCACAAACATGTTCAGGTTATCCTATTTCACAAGAAGAATTAGAAAAAAAACGTTTACAAGTTGAAGAAAGAAAAAGACGAAAACAAAATAAAAATTGTAAATCATCAACAAGTGATGGAAATTCTTCATCATCATCATCAATATCTCCTGGAATAATAAATAAATCTTCCTATTCAATTGAAAGAATTTTATATCAATCATCAAATAATAACAAATCTTAATAATTATTTTGATATTGTTTATTTTAAACCCCGGTTTTATGTTGAAGAAAACAAACTGTATAAAAAAAAATGTGTAAATATAGATAAATGAACTTAATCATTAATGTTGAAAAGCCTTCAGGTGTTTTGTTTTCATCTTGATGTTGCATCGATTAATATAATTATCACTTACTCATTTAAAAAAAAAGATTGATTATCATTCTTAATGTTTTTCACCTAAGAATCGTTTATATATATTAGTTGAGTATTGTTTTGTCAATATTCTTGTTTTTGTTTTAAAATTGACTCAATTTCTTGTCTATAGGCTTCTTGACAATTTTACATAATAAAGTTTTTCTTTAATGAAATTTTTGTTTTGTTAAACATAAGTTAAATTAAAATTATGTTTTCTTTGAAAAATAATCTATCATATTACTAATGTTGGTATTAATTATCATAGCTTAGTTCAATGATTTCTCTATCAGACAACAATATTTTCGACGATCAAAGGATGCATTTAGTATAAGGGATCAATCATATATGAATATCATTCGAGAAGAAAAAAAACAAACGAAAACATAATCCTATCATTTATCGATAAAGAAATATTTCTTGATTATCTTAATTCGATACTCAATTAAAGAAATGAATAATTCTTTACATCAAATAATAATCATTGATAAAATTAAAATTAAAATTAACATTAAAATTAATGTGTTGATTTATGTTTGTAAATGAAATGTACCTTTAGGATAAATATTGTTTCATCTTTCGATAGTTTAATCATTCAATTTTTCTCTTTCTCTTGTAGCTGTTCATAATCGAATCAACCATACGAATAGATACCAAATGCTTTAAGTGCATCATTATAATGACATATCAATGAAGTTCAACGCCCACATAAACAAACATACTCAATAACTATAAAACAGATCATGATCTATTTCGAAGATATTGTCTCCTCCTTTATTCACAATTGCCTTTGAGCAAAAAAAAAAAAAAGGCGAATTTTTTAGAACAATCCTATATATAAATATACAAACTAGAAATATAATATCATTTTTAACAACAACGGAAACTTATTTCATTTCCGTAACTAATCATTAAACATGTTTTTATTTTTGACTAAATCAATATTGAATGAGAACTATAACAGAATATATTACACTTATTAACAATTATAATTATTTATAATGTAATAAATTTTTTTGTTTTTTTTTTTTTTTTTTTTTTTTTTTTGAGGTGTAAATAGAATAAAAAGAAGTTTGTTTGCATAAAGGAATATTTCATCATTTTTGAACTAAAGAAATAAAGTGAATGAATGACAGATCAAACATCACCTATTGTGTTTGTTTCAACTATTCTTTTACACATATGTCAATATTAAATTAATTGTTAATAAACATTAAACTCTAAAAAAAATATCAATAATTAGTAAAAGATATTTATCTTTTCTAAAAACATTTATTGTTTATTTATAGTAGCATAAACTTACATTATTCAAATAGAAATTGAGAATATAATTAAATCATATGACCTTAAAGTCTTCTTCTAATGAATCATTGTTTGTTTGACATGTCACCATCATCTTGTTTTCTTTTCTTTTCTTTTATCAAATAACAATTCTCAGGCTTTCTTAGAAAGTAATTATTATTTAATCATCGATACTTTATTCATGCAGTTCAGTGTAGATACATATTTTTGTCGTAGGATATCGTCAGTTCATTTTAGATGTTCGAGTTTCAGAATAATTATTCTTATGAGAATTGTAAATAGTAACGGTTACTAACTTTCAAACAATCTGTTTTCAGAGAATTGATCGTAAATATCTTTTGTTCGCACATCAAACATCATTTTATTGATGTCGAAGTCTATTTGTATACATTCGAGTATTCTATTAAGTAGAATTCGTAATTATGTACTTATCATATGTTATCAGCTCACTTAGATTTTGAGTTATATCATCCAAAAAAAAACGCAGAATCATTTAATATCGTAATTTATCATAGGTTTGTTTATACTTCTTACTATTTGTAGCCATATACTCCACATTTAGTATATCAGTGATAGGAAAGCAAATATAACATGAAAAACGGATTAAATATAGAGATAGTTAATCATATTGACAGGTAACGGATATTGAAAATTGTGGTGACGGAAAACATGAGAACAAAGTGGAAGAGAGACCTTTTAAAAGGTTGAAGTATGCAGATTTGAGTGTTTAAAAATGGGAGGATGGTTGCAGAAATTTATTTCTCATACGATGATGTTTTCTTTTGCAATAAAGTGACCTTACTGTAAAACAAAGAACGGTGTCTGTGTAATCAATCTTTTAGCTAAACAAAAGTAATGACAATCGCTGTTTTCTGAAAATCGAATCTTTAATGCTTTGTTCGTGTTATTGAGCATCGAATGAAACAAAATCTTTTGAATTCTTGTTTGCATTTGTTGTTGCTCAGAAAATTCAAAACATTAAGGATATTTGAATTTTTTTCAACCATGTTCAAACGGTAGAAAGCTTGAATATCATTTGATTGAAAAAAATATTGCTGAAAACAACAGTTTCTTTTATTCCTTTTTTACTTTAGAAATGTAGCATTTGATTTAAATTTTTACAGAATTATTAGAAGTTATAAGTGTTTGCTGTTGTACGTTTAAAAATTTCCAACTGAGTAAAAAACAAAAGATTTATTTTTATGTAAATCACCACTTATTTACTACCCAGAATTGCTTTTATCACTTTCTACTTTTTATCAACTTTTATATTATTCAACAACTTTTTTATAATTTAGTGTTTGCATAGAAACGCTGTGCGTCATCGAAACAGTACGTGATAAGAAGAGAAACATATTTGTAAGCCACGTTATTTGTTCTGTCTACACAAAACTAACAGAATGTAAATGACAAAAACAAAATAAATTTGTGCATAATCTAGAGGATGACATGCTCAGTTTTAGTTATCGATGTGAAGCTAGCACGGCGAGTAGCTATCACGACGGATTTCGGTAAATCTAAAATCTTGAATACTTGGAATTTTGTGGGCGGGATCTGGATGCAGGTGCTTGTGTACACATTGCTGAGCACCCTCACCCAACTTCCGTCCCAACAACGCCCAGCGTTACAGATTCCAATCTCACCTAAATCCGTTGTGGTAGTTACTCGTCGTGCTAGCTTCACATCGATTTTTAGTTCAGAACTGATGAACTGTTCAAAACGCTCACTAACACGAACTGAACTATTCGAATAGTTCTTTCGAATGAACTGAACTTTTTCAACAGTTCTTTTCAAAAGAACTGAACCGCTTGAACAGTTCTTTTCAAGGAGCTGAACCTTTTCAAATAGTTCAGCTTCCTCAATAGGTTATCATGAAAAGTTACAACCATAGATCTTCAAGTCCTATTATAGAGGGGTACCCTTAGGACCTCAAGTCCTACTATAAGGGGTAGCCATTGGTCCTTAAGTCCTGTTATATACGGTTACCCATAAGTTTTCAAGTTCTCCTATACAGAAGTATCCTAAGGGCGTTAAGCCCTTTTTTAGAGGGATATCCATAGGTCCTCAAGTTCTATTATATAGAGGTTCCCATGGATTCTCAAGCTCTATTATATAATGGTACTGATAGGTCCTAAACTTCTATTATATAGGGTACCCTTCGTTCTTCAAGTCCCATTATAAGAAGATACCTTTAGATCCTCAAGCAATGCTCTGGAGGCACCATTGCATCATCAACAACTACTACAAACGGTACCTTAACGCTCCTGGATCCTGCTATACCACTATTTGCCGAGACAATATGGGAAAAGGCAATCAAAAATCTGCTTGATCGACAAGGAACCAATCAGATTCGGAGATTCTATTTGTCACTGATAGAAAAGACGGACCCCAGATAAATACCCTTCATTCGATAGAGCGTCCTCGATAACTCTAGGATTGACCCGAACATGACTAGTGATTGTCCGTCCAATCGGAAAGAAAAAGCGTCTTGAAATCTGATTGGGCGAAAACTGGATTGAATAAGATTTCAGAAGGAGTTTCCGTTTATGTTGTCGTGACAATCACAAGTGATGTTCGGGCGGATCTTACAGTTTTCCAGGGCGCTCTATTGTATGTGATGTGTTTGCTTAGGGCTCCGAGTTGTATGCCACGGGAAAATAAATTGCGCAAGCGGAGTAGTCTATTTTCTCACTAGTTGAGTTTCGGAAGATGTGTGCTTTCATCTCATACTGCTAGCGACTGTTGAGGACCCAAGGTACCCCTGAATACAATGTTTGAGGACGAAAGTCCCGGCGCCCCCCCGACCGC